CGGGTGGGTAAAGGTGTACTATAATTTGAGGGCAAAAGGTGGCGTGCCAGGAAATGTCGTTTGCGTTGAAAAGCGAATTCCGGGATAGGTGAGCCACCGAGCGTGCGTGAAAAGCCCAGATGTGCGAGGTCACAGTCCAGCATTTCACGCACGCTCAAGGCAGGTCCTGCCGTTAGGGGAGAATTCGCAAAAGATAATCCCTCTTTCGTGATCTCCTCCTCTGGTACGGACCCCACTCCTTCCGCCATTCTACCTACCATCTTCTGAACTCTGCCGATTCCCGTCCATTTTCCCGAGCATTTCCCACGAATTCTCCAGTTTTTTTTTCTTCAAGAAACTGCTGCTGTGGAGCGGGAAGGTATACTGCGCACGTAAAAACGGGAAAAGGCAAAAGCCAAAGGGACCAAATTAGTAAATTCGTCGTGGTTCGGGGAATTTTCTATCACAAAACCCTCCAGCGACTGAATAGGACCCACTAGCTGGGGATTCTCAGCTAGGGACGTGCCCCTGATAACAGAACGCCATGTTGGTGAGAGCGAGCGCAGAGAAAAACAGAAAATCTGCACGATTATAGGAATTGGGTTCGAGTAGTTATAGGTCCACCAACAGTGACCACGGTAGCCCGCAGGGTATACGGTGTCACAGTGATTTACTGATAACATCTCTAAAAAGCTGTGAAGTTTCTTGTTAGTGACTAGTTTGTCAGTGACTTGTGTTTTAGGCCGAGCTTTGAATCCGCCTTTTCGTGGCGACGAGACGTTTTCGGTCGACTGAGTTTAGTGTGTGCCAAAGATGATGATGACATCATCATATCAGAAATCGTCCAAAACCCCAGCGTAGGTGGAATCGTTAACGTTAACCTACTGTTAGAATTAGGTATGTTAGAAGCAGTTTCAATTACGCTCACAGGATGTGATCCCATTCTCCGAACTAGGGTTCCGACAGATCTGACTGAATAGGGGCGAATGAGCGTAGCCTCGTTTTTGCCCATAGGTATCGTAACTGCATCAGCGCCGTCATCTTACAGTCATGGTCCCTGCAGACGATAGAGCTTGTGAACGGGCGTGGACTGAGATCTGCCAAGGCGGTCTTGTCATCACTGATGCCATCCTCAGTGCGTAATAATCGGCGGAAGGGCTGTTCTGGTTACAATCCAACCCACTCTCCCACGCCCTACCGTTTGCAGGGACCATGGCCATGCCTATAATGTACCATACTGAAAATGGGGGCGCAGGTAACAATTGAAAGAAAACCCGTTTCCCACCAATCGGATGGGCGGAATAATGGGCGGAGATTCACAATCATTGTGCCTTCTTCACTGAAAACGTGTTCTCTTGATATTTTTAAAACTAACCTGGGAAGTGTTATGTGCTCAAGTGGGATGTTTTATGGAGTTTCCGTTCTTTCGATCACCGGAATGTACATTTAAGTCTACGGTTTTCGCTACTTAAGAAGCAGTGGAACTGCCTTTCCCGATATTCAAGTTTCCTTCCTCAATTTCCAGCAGTTTAGGTGAGCTGGAGTGAAGTACCATATGCTCAAGTATGTTGTATCGATACAGAGAATCGCTGCGCAGTATCTACCTCTTATTTATCGATTTATCCAGAAAATGTCTTGGAACCATGGGCTAAATTGTTCTCATCATTCACGCTGGAGTACTCACATTGTAAAGACGATCTGCTGAAAGTAGGTGATTTTTCGGAGCAAAATATTCGCGGCATTTCATATTCACATATATTTAGGTTTCGCGAACGACATGTGACCCAACCGCGAATGTTCAAAAAGAGTTTTTTGAACGATTAGTGGATGGCAACACGTTCA